CTGGGTCGTTCTGGGGAGAGGCACCGCAAGGTCGAGTCGCAGCGGCCCTGCATATAAGCATCTGGCCTTTCGGGGGCCAGAGTTTGTTGTCCGTGTCCACGGCGCCTCTTGCCTCCTGGGGAGGGGCGCCCGACACTCCACGACGCAGTGGACATGTAGACACATGGGGAGCTTCAAAAAGGGCCCCGCCTTCGAGGATGCAAGGAGTTGCCGTCTCTTCCGCCGCGGAAAGGGGGCGGAAGAGCGGCGGCAGGTCGGCGGAAATGAAACGAGGCCGTTTCCGCCGGCGGAGGCCGGCGGGAGCTCGGCGGAAGGCGGCGGAAGTGAACCAGGCGCCCCCAAGAGAGGAAACCATGTTTGGGGTTCACGGTTCCCGGAAACGCCCACGTAGACGCATCTTGCCCGCAGCTGCATGCCAGCCGTCCTCTACCTTACCAGCCTGGAACATATTCCTATCCCTGTGCTAGGCACCTCCTCATCACGATGCCAATCTTAGGGATTTCCCTATGTTTTGAGGGCGAGTCCCTAAGATTGTCATCGCCTTTTGGCGTGTCAATCTTAGGGATAGGGATACGTTCGAGGCTGGTAATTACCGCCCCGCCGCGTCAAGCGGGGGTCTGCGGCAGGAGGGGCGCGGGCGCGGCGAGCCGCGGCGAGGGCCGGGTGAGCCCGCCCGAGGCCGCGCGCCTCTGCAACGCGAAGGAGAACACTCAGGAGAGGAAAAAACACACAGACACAAGTATTCCAAAGTGGGGGGAAGACAGTATCCCAGAACATATAGGAAAAAAATGGGGAATCCTGATATTTGTGTGTATTTAATTATTTACGCTTCGCGTATCCCCACCAGCCCATCTCACAGCAGCAACTCTTGCGAAGCATGCCGACAGTCGTGTTTTTCAGGCGTGTGTCCGCTTGGCCCCGCATATCTCCCCTGTTCCTCCTTCCTCCCGCCTCCTTGTACATCCTCCTTGTGGGGGGAGCGGGAGAAGGACGAGGCGGAGGAGGAGGGAGAGAAAGCGCTCCTCGTGATTTGAGTCGTTTGGGGTTTCTCGTCCTGGTGTGAGTCGTTCGGGCCCTTCTTCCTGGTGTGAGTCGTTCGGGCTCTTCGTGGTGTGAGTCGTTCGGGCTCTTCGTCCTGGTGTGAGTCGTTCGGGCTTCTCGTGGTGTGAGTTGTTCGGGCCCCTCAGCCTGGTGTGAGTCGTTCGGGCCCCTCCTCCTGGTGTGACTCGTTCGGGCTCCTCGTGGTGTTCGGGCCGCGTCGTGGTGTGAGTCGTTCGGGCTCCTCGTGGTGTGAGCGGGGCCTCGTCCTGGTGTGAGTCGTTCGGGCCCCTCCTTGTGGTGTGAGTCGTTCGGGCTCTTCGTGGTGTGAGTCGTTCGGGCCCCTCGTCCTGGTGTGAGTCGTTCGGGCTCCTCGTGGGGCCTCTTGGGGGCCTCTTGTGCCTCTTGGGGCCTTTGGGGGGGGCCTCTTGGGGGCCTCTTGGGGGCCTCTTGGGGGCCTCTTGGGGGCCTCTTGGGCCTCTTGGGGCCTCTTGGGGCCTCTTGGGGGCCTCTTGGGGGCCTCTTGGGGGCCCCTGGGGCCTCTGGGGGCCTCTTGGGGGCCTCTTGGGGGCCTCTTGGGGGCCTCTTGGAGGCCTCTTGGGAGGCTCCTGGGGGCCTCTTGGGGCCATCTTGGGGCCTCTTGCGACCTCCTCAGAAGCGCAAAGAAGCGCTGCCCCCTGAGAAGGACAAAATGAGCCCAAAACCTTCGTAAAATCAATGATTTTGCTATGAAGGAAGATGAGCGCGGCCCCCTCGGGAGGCCAAAATGGGGCCAAAACCATCGTAAAAGCAATGATTTTGGCTTCACAGAAGAGGAGGGGGCTACAAGAGGGTCCCCCCGTCGGAGCCAGAATCCTCGTGAGGGTCGTCGTTTTTTGGCCCTCCCAGGCGTCGAAAAAGACCCCCCTGACCACCCGCGGGACTCCCTCTCCAGGCCCAGGGGGAGGGGGTAGGGGGAGGGGTAAACCCCTCCCCGAAGGGGAAGAAGGGGGGTTGGGGGGTTGAGAACAGAGAGAGCTCGCTAAACCACTCACGCCCAAAGGGCTGGTGGGATTGTGTGTCCCAGGGCCCCTTCGTAAATGAACACACACTTTCGACGCTCCGCGCAGATTTCTTGGACCTGCGCTGCACCATCCTGGCGGCGCGCTCCGCGCGCCAGGGAGGGGGTCCAGCGCCGTACCACGAAACCAGCGCGGGGTCGTCGACCGTTGAGCGTTGTGCCATTGTCTGTTCCCCCTAGAGTCGGGCTGAGGTATGAGGTCGAGGTCGGTTCGGTGGGGTACCCGCGTGTTCTTCGTGCATGTTGGATGTTCTGGTGCATCCTGGGGGAGGGCACTCTCGAATGCTCTTCCGTTTCCGTTTGGGCCTGCGGAGGTCTCATGTTCTTGAAGGTTGCTCTCCTGTCACACGAAACTCGCCAACCATACCTTGACGCTTGCTGTTTTGGGTGCTCGCATGGCCGGCGATACTCCAATGGTGGCATGAGGCACTCGGCCCAGACGCAGGGGGGCCCGAAATCCAGCAGCACCCTCACAGCGTTGAAGAACGCGTCTCCCAACGCGTGCCCGAACTACAGTCAACGCGCCTAGTAAGGACGCGCGCCTTCATCCAGGGTACCCCTGTGTCCTTGCCTCTGAGGCTCGTCCTTGCCATTATCACTGGTCGCCCGCCGCCCTAAAAAAAACCCAACTTCGGCCTCCAAGGGTCTTGCCTCCTTACCACCCGTCCTTACTATACGTTTTCACTGCATCGAGCGCTTCGATGTTGCCCAGCGCCTCCGTGCATCTTTGGCGAGGCCTGCACTGCCCGACCGGCTCTGCGGCGCCCGGCCCTCGCGCGGCCCGGGCAGGCCGGCCTCCTGCGCGCTCGGGGCTCCGTCGTCTCGGAGCCGCCCCTCTGGGGGGGCATCTTTCAGGAGGGAAAGAAACACACAGACACAATTAATCGTCGACTCCCAGGAAAATATGCAAAAATATGGGAAGTGGTGGGGAAGACAAAAACCCAGAAAATATGGGAAAATATGGGGGATATTTTTATTTGTGTGTATTTATTTGTGTGTTCCAGTTCCCCTTCAATCTTGGGCCGTCCTGGGCTGCCCAGGACCCGGGCCTCCCAGAAGCGGTCGGGGCCGATGTGGTCGGAGGATCGCGCCGCGTCGCCGAGGCCTCGCCACTGCGGCTCGAAGCGGAGCCGGAGGTTCTCCACGCCCACGTCGCCGACGCGTCGCCGACGTCGCCGGCCTCGGGGGAGGCCCGTCCGGGAGGCGGCTCTGGGATGCTGAAGCGGGGCGCAGCAGTAAAGCTGCTGCCTGGTTGCCGCGCTGCGTCCTCTTGAGGTGCTCGGAGGCTTCCCGAGAGCTTCTTTGGGGCCGAGGGCCTCGAGGGGGTCGTTCAGGGATCTGCGGGTCGTCCTGGGCGCGATGGCTCTGCAGCCAACCCGCACAGTAGGGAAGGGCAACCTTCCCCAGGGTGCCCCCTTGCATCCTTGCCTCCGCCGCCCATCCTCGGCCGCTTTCGCTGGCCGCGCCCCGCTCGCAGCGTGTCGGCATGGCCTTCCAAGGCCCTCGCATCCCTATCGTGCTTCCTTCCGACACGGGTTGGCTGCAGGCGCTGCCGAGCCCTCCCGAAGCGGCTCGGCTGATCCGTGCTGGGGCCGCTTTTTGGCGGGCCTCGAGGTTCCCTCGGGGCCCTCTTGCGGCGGCCCTGGGGCCATCTTGGAGGTGGTCGGACCATCCTGGGGCCCCTTAGGGCCATCTTGGGCCGCCTTCGTGGCTTCTCGCGCAGCGCCCTGTGACACTCTCCCGAGGCGACGGACGTTTCACATGCTGTTCCCTGTTGTCTCGGCCTCGCACGGCCTTGCCGGTGGTCTCTTTGGGGGCGTCTCTCGGGGGCCCATTGGGGCCTCGCGGGGACGTGGCGCGCTCCAGGAAAGGCTCCCGCCATCGAGGACCGGAGGAGGTCTCATCCCTTCCCCGGCGGAAGGCGGCGGAAGGGCGGCGGACGCCCGCGAAGGTAAGACGAGGCCAGCCTTCGGCCTCGGAAGCCGGCGGAAGCAGGACGTGCTCCCCTAAAGAGGTGGCAGCATTGTCGGGCTCAGGGCTTCCGGAACCGGCCACGTGTTTGAGCATATTTTGGGCGTTGGGGGTTATCCCATGGTAGGGTTAGGGAACAGCCCCAGCTGTATGCTCACATTTCTGTCGTCCAGGATCCGTCTGGGGCGGTGTTCCTGCCAACCCCACCTCTGTCCCAGCCCCACCTCTACGTCCCCCGGGATCTTGGCCGTCGTCGCCCAGTCCAGAGAGCCGGCCCAGGGGGGCGCCGGGAAGCAGCAGAAGGGGGCAGCGTTCGCGGGGGGCCGGTGCGCGCGGCGGGGGAAGGGCCGGCTGTGGAAGACTTCTGGGGACCGCCCAGCCTCCCAGCATGCCCCAGCGCGCCAACGGCATGTTGGTAAGAACGAAGGCGCCGCAGCAGTTTCGGCGCGGTCTGGGGTGATGAGCAGAGGCAGAGCAGAGGTCAGCGTGCGCAGCGAGTGCGTGTCGCTTGCCGAGCCCTCCGTCCTCGGCCTTTGCACGCCGCGGGGAGGCCGCGCTCGGTTTCCAGCTGCCAGCTGCCGCTGCCTGAGGCTCGTGCGTGCCGCCAGTGCGTCCAGACGTCTGAGCTCCGGCGTGGCCTCGCCCGACGGGGCCCCCGGCGCGAGGCCTCATCAAGAGCTCGTGCGCCATGCCTCCCGCCGCGCTCTGCTGCGAGCGGCCCACGTGCGCCCACCACAGAGCTGCGCCCTGGTAGAACGCTGCCCCGTCTGTGACGAGCCCGAAGCACATCCCTATCCCTGTGTCTGGCAGCACCCCTGCCTCGGCTTCCGAGGGCACGTCCCGACGGTTGCACTGCCATCGCCCTGGGCTTGCCGATCTTGGGGGCAGGGGTACGTTCGAGGCGGGCTCGCCTGCGCCGTCCGGCCCGCAGGGCGGAGATCGACGAGATGCTGATGCTCGTGAGGCGGGGAGCCCGCACCGTGCCCCTTGCCGGCTTTGGTGCCCCCCCCGGCCCACCTGCCTGTGGTGGCTTCGCGTCGTGCCGACACGGCGAGGACCCCAGCGCGGGCGTTCAAGGTTGAACGTTGCCATGGCCCAGAGTCGGCGATCTTGAGACTATTCGGCGATCGACCAGCCGCCAACCGTTCTCAAGGTTGAACGATCCACGCGTCGTGAGAGATCAGCGCTGGGCCCTGGGGTCGCCACGGCACGCACCTGCCGTACCTCTCATGGCTGCGACGTTGCCCCTTGAGCTGACAGGTGAGCAACGCAGAACAACGCGGTCGTCTTCATCGACATCGACGCGCAAGCGTTCCGCGCATGGTCGCGCGTGAAAGCCCTCATCCCCAGCGCATCGTGTCGCGCGGGGGGCCCGCGTAAGCTGCCGCGTAAGGTCGCTACGCCATCTCGCGTAAGAACCGTTTCTGTTCGTCGTCCAGGTGAGGATCCACATCCGAGCCGGACTCCATCCCCACGGTTGGTAGAAGCCCCTTCTGTCGCCCTGCGATGGCCTCATGCTCATCACCTCAGTCGCAGATTCAATTGGTCGGCAAGCCGTAGGAAGCCTACCGTTGCATGAGCACAGAGACGCCTTCTAATATTTACCTCCCTGGGCGCTGCAGCGTGCAGCGGCAGAAGACTAACACAGAATTACGGGCCCGCGTCGCCCGTCGCGGCGGGATGGCCATCGCCGAGGCCGACCTGGAAAAGACAGGGCGAAGCCTTGCACTCGAGAAGACAAGTGTACGCAAGAGAAGGAGGATGCGAAGAGGCACTACGAGCCTTTTTGGGATCCCATGGGTTTTATGCAGGGTTGTACAGTTTGTCGTCATATGAGTGCTTGTCTCAATGCCGAGGCACGTCTGTTCGGCTGAGTAGGTGTGTCGCGCCACGGTCTGGAAGCTTCAAGTGTGCAGATCCAGAGCACATCAGCAGCGCTGCACTGAAGCGATGATCATCTGGCGTCAGGCGTGGCCGCTAACCGAACACGATGAGGCGTCTGCCCCTTTGGGCGGGAGACCGTTCTCTCCGACGTTTTGGTGCTACATCTTGCTCCATGTGCTGTATCCTTCGTCGCCCGTCCTATCATGCGTTCTCCCTCACTCTTGAGCCCTCCTACCCACAGCCATCACGCTTCACTCCCATGTCCCTCGTTCCTCCTCTTCGTTCGCCGTTGAAGCTCCCCCTCGCCCTTCCCCTTAGTGTCTTCTCTATGCCAGCATTCCTCCTGATTGCTCGTTCTCAGTCAATCACAGTTTATCCTGTAACGTCCCTAACCAGCTCCACGGTTTCAGCACAGACCCTATGCTCGTGCCTCGCTTGAACATATCCGCGCTAAGCGCGCATGCTTGTAGTACCTTTGTCTTGCGTCTATGTCTCTCTCTCTCTCTCTCTCGCTTTCCTTTCTCTCTGTGCAGCTGTAGATCTGTATCTCTGTATAAGTGTAAATGTGTATATGTATGTATGTATGTGTGTATACATGTGTATCTAGAAATGCATGTAATTGCGTATGTTTTCCTTCGGTGGTCGGATGTCTTGGCTGCTAGTTCTCAAGCCCTGGACAGCCTCTCCCTCAGGTTGACTTCTGTGCGGCTACTACGTTATGTTTCTTGTTTGCTCACCTGTTCCGCCCTAGCACTCCTCCCCACGGGATTCCCTCACGCATCTAGCCCCGTCCACTTTGACTGTGCCCTCTCACGTACATCTGTTTCTCAGAGACCCCCCTCCCAGATCCACCGAATCAACAAACAAGTATGTTCACATACACCCGCCCCTCATGTTCCTCCCCCTCATCCTGCCTCCTCTTCTCATCTCTCCTCCTCCTGCGCCCCGTCCTCCCCGTATCCTCCCCCACCTCGTTTGTCTTCCCTTTTCCTCCTCCTCCGTCGTCCCTCCCCCGCCCTGTTCCGCCTGCTCTTCTTCTCTTCATCCTCTCTCCATCTTCCCCCCGCATCCCCCTTTCTCCTCCTCCTCCTCCTCCCGCTCCTTTCCTCCCCTTCTCCTTTCATCCCCCTCACCCTCCGTTCCTCCTCCTCCTCCTCCTCGTCCTTTCCTCCGTCATCTCCGCTCCTCCTCTCTCCTCCTCCCCTCCTCCTCCTCCTCGTCCTTTCCCCCCCTCCTCCTTTCCTCCCCCCACCCTCCTTTTCTCCTCCCCCCTCCTCCTCCTCTCCTCTTCTCTCTCCTCCTCCTCCTCCTCCTCCTCCTTCTCCTCCTCCTCCCCTCCTCCTCCTCCTCCTCCTCCTCCCTCCTCCCCTGCCCTGCGCGTCCCGCCCGTCCCTCCTCGCAGATGGCCCACCCTGGACTTCCCCGGGGGGGCCCGCTGTGGCCCCGTCCAGGCGTGAACGGGGCGCTCCTGGAGCCCCCCCCCCCTCCCCCCCCCCCCCCCCCCCCCCAAAAGCAGCTCGAGCCATGCCCTACACACGTCGGGCCCGCCTCCCACTGCGGGCGCATCAGCCACGACATCCGCCTGCCGGCGAGTGCTCCGTGGGAGCTTCTGCTCCCCCCCCATCCTCAGAAGCTCGAGCCATGCCCTACACATGCCGGGCCCGCCTCCTATACTGCAGGCGCACCAGCTGCGACATCCGCCAGCCGGCGAGTGCTCCGTGGGAGCTTCGGATCCCCCGATGGAGCTTCGGATCCCCCGATGGCCCCAGGGACCCACGGGAGCCCTGGGGCACGTCAGGACCCCCCGAAGGGTCGACCTTCATCGGCATGTCTTTCAGCAAGACGTCTTGCCGTGTGTGTGTGTGTGTGTGTGTGTGTGTGTGTATGTGTGTCTGTTGTACCTCTCCTGCATCCTCCCTGCCCGTCCTCTTCCCCGGTCGTCGGATCCCGAACTCATCCACGCACGCTTCCAGCGTCGCATTGCTTTTCGACTGCACGGCATGTGACGGCAGCCCGCGCACTCGCGGCTCATCGAGCTGCGCTGTCTTGAGGCGTCCGCGCCCTCTCCCCTCCCTCCTTACCCCTCTCGGAGGAGGGCAGCTTTGCAGGAGAAAGAGGAGGAGGAGGAGGGGAAGATGAGGAACGACGTGCACCTGTATACATGGTCGTCTCATTTCCGTCTCCCATATCCCTCCTCCGCCATTCCCCCCTGCCCCCCGCCTGGACGAGCCGCGATTGACCGCAGGCAGAAGTACGGGGCACCCGCCGACGTGCACATGCTGCCGCTGCTGGAGCACGAGTGCCCAGCCCCTCCCCCTTGCCAGCCTGCGGGGACGGGAGAGTTCTGGCAGGAAGGAGGACGTGAAGTGTGGGGGGAGGGAGGGGGAGGAGGATGACGAAGAACATGCGGAGTTCGAGAAGGAGGAGGAGGAGGAGGAGGAGGACTAGGAGTAGGAGTAGGAGGAGAAGGAGGGGAAGGAGGAGGAGGAGCAGGAGGATGATGAGGACGACGAGGAGGATATTGATGAGAACGGTGAAGATAAGAGGGATAAAGGGGGGGTGAAGGGGATGAGGGGAGGGGGCGGAACGAGGATGATGAGGATGATGAGGTGGTGGGATGACATGTTTTCCCCAACCAGTGCTCGCAATAAGGGGGGTCTCGCTTGGATCATGGATGATCGGCGCGACATCTCGGTATGGCTCTGGCGTCCCATGGGTGGTGCTCTCTATATTGCCAGCAGCGGTTCGCGTTCTTGCCCTCGTGCCCCCTGAGAGGTGCTCCGTGGCTGGTGTGCTCTGGATGCACCGTCTGACCGACGCATGAGATCGAGGTCGGTTCTGGGAGGGTGCCCCAGTGTTCTCCGTGTGTCGACTGCTGCTCGTGTGCATGCGGTGCCGTTTTTGTATACAGGCTCCGCGTGCGGATCGTGTAGAATAATTGCAGGGATTGAGTACTAAAAACAACGATGGGTGCATGCATACAAGTATTCATACACGTCATACATTAATCGTTGAAAAATCCTATATTAAACAAAACACTGTATTAAAAACTGCCCTGTGCTGGGGAGGGTGCCCCTTTACATGTTCTGTGTGCTCTGGCCGACAGAGGACCTCGTGCTCCCGAGGGGTGCTCTTCTGGCGCAGGTCCGACCGTATCAAGCGGTCGCGGGTTCTCGTTCTTGCCCCGACGCCCGCTGTGTGGCGCTCTGCCGCTGGCTCCTCTCGGGCACCCCCTCCTCCTCCTCCTCCTCCTCCTCCTCCTCCTCCTCCTCCTCCTCCTCCTCCTCCTCCTCCTCCTCCTCCTCCTCCTCCCCATCCTCACCCCTGCTCCTCCTCTTCCTCCTCCTCCTCCTCCTCCTCTTCCTCCTCCTCATCCTCCTCTCCTCGTCCTCCTCCCCTCCTCCTCCCTCCCACCTTCCTCCTCCTCCTCCTCCTCCTCCTCCTCCTCCTCTCCACCCCCTGCTATCTCCTACTCCTCTTCCTCCTCCTCCTTCCTCCTCCTCCTCCCCTCCTCCTCCTCCCTCCTCCTCCTCCTCCTCCTCCTCCTCCCCTCCTCCTCCTCCTCCTCCTCGTCCTCAGCCCCTCCCCTCCCTCCTCCTCCTCCTCCTCCTCCTCCTTCCTCCTCCTCCTCCTCCTCCTCCTCCTCTGCCTCCCTCCTCCTCCTCCACCTTCTCCTCCTCCTCCTCCTCCTCCTCCTCCCCCTCATCCTCCTTCCCCTCCTCCTCCTCATCCTCCCTGAGAAGGCCGCGGCTCCCAATACTTCCTCCAGAACCGCCAGGTCCAAGATATTCTCGATTCATCCCCACCCGATGATATCCTCGTCCTAGCTCTGTCTTATCCTCTGTCGCCAATACTCTGTATAGAATGGTTGCGGTGCATCGTTCTCGCCTTGATGCACTCTTCGTGGTGCCACATGGCTGGTGCCCTCACGGTGCCTTGAGAGCTGCGGTGTTCTCGTTAATGCTTTGGTGCCCCGAGGCCAAGGCTCTTCTCGATTCCCACTGTCCGATTCACACTCCAAGTTCGACGACTTTCGATTCTGATTCGATTCGGCTTCGGATTCCGATTCGGGCTCCGATGTCTCAATGGAGCCTTGGTTGTTTGCCGATTGTCGCAGATTTGATGTTTCTTGACTCGGCTACTGATTTCCTCGGATCGGATGCATTTCGATTGCCGATCCGACTCGTCGATTTGATGCTGGGCTCTCCTACCCATTGGCGGCGCTGTACGGTTGGTGCCATCTGGTGCGTTTCACGCTGCGAAGCTAGAGCTCGCTGTTTAAACATATCCGCCTCCATCCTTGGATCTGCCGTCGCTGAGGTGTGAGCTCCCGTCTTGAAATGGTCCGCCCCCCGTGTTCCCCAGGCAGTGCTTGTATTGAGGGGTTCTCATTTCTTTTGGAAGGCGCTGGGCCTGCCCGTCGGTCTGGTGGCTATGTGGTCGCCGTCGCCGCCTCGTCGCTGCCCGTGTTTGGGCCTGCCCGTCGGCCTGGTGGCCATGCGGTCGCCGTCGCCGCCCCGTCTTCTGGGCCTCACCGTCGGTCTGGCGGCTATGTGGTCGCCGTTGCTGCCCCGTCGCCGCCTGGGCCTGTATTAGGTTGCATTGCTTTGCGGTGCGTTGAAATGCATTCGTTTTATATGCATTGGTTTCTGTGTGTTGGCCTGAGTTGATTTACATTGGTTGTCATTGCGGTTGCGTTGTTTTCGCTTGCGTTGCTTTGCATTGGTTCGCATGCATTGCGCTACATTACTTAGCATTGAGTTGCATTGCGTTGCGTTGCATTGCGTTGCATTGCCTCGCATTGATGTGCAGTTCCTTGTATGGCATCGCATTGCGTTGCATGTCTGTGTATCTTGCTTGGCAGTGCTTCGCGTTGTGTTGTTGTGCGTTGCTTTGCGTGGTGTTGTAGTGATGTGCAGTGTTGTGCATGCGCTGTGTTGCGTTGCAATGTACACTGCTGTGCGTGCCTTTGCATTGTTGTGTGCTGCTTAGCGTTGCTTTGCACCGCATAGATTGCACCACATGGGTTGCACCACCTGGATTGTACCACATTGATTTCACCACCTAGACAACCCCATACAGATGGCAACAGAGCACCGTGTGGAGTCCACGCGTGCTAGAGATTATACTGGTTGCACGATCTTGGACGAAGGAACCGCCCTCCATTCTTGTAGCTGTAGGGCGTCCCTGGCCAGAGGTCTGTCCGTCCTACCGATACGCCTCGTGGCGCGGCAGGGAGGAGTCATGCCGTATACAAGGTAATGGGGGGATGCAGAGGAAGGTGGAGGAGGAGGAGGAGGAGGAGGACGAGACGGGATGGTGAGGGAGGAGCATAGAGAACGAAACAACGGCAGTAATAGGAGGGGAAAGGAGGAGGTCCAGGGGGAGGGAAGGGGAGTGGGACAGAGATGGGTGAGGAGCAGGAGGAGGAGGAGGAGGAGGAGGAGGAGCAGGAGGCGGAAGAGGAGGAGGAGGAGGAGGAGGAGGAGGAGGAGGAGGAGGTGCACCGACAGCGTGCTGCTACTGCCTGCCTTCTCGCACGAGCTGATCCCTCCGTAGAAGCTCATTATCGCTCCCGGGCCCCTTCGGCACTGAGAGCCTGATGCGATTGCTTGATTTCACACGGGCTGGTCCTACACGTAGTTGTGGTTCCTCGCCCACGGTTGCCCTTTCACAGGGCCAGCTGTTTCAATGCCCTGCCTGCTCGCATGAACCGATCCCTTTTCCCACGCTCGTCCTTCTCGCAGGGGCGCGGCTGCCACGAGCTTCCTCCGTGCAGTTGCCGTAGTCTGGCACTGCCACGAGCTCTGCCCCCTCCCGCACTGTGTCTGACGATGCTCTCCCACGAGCTCCTTTAGCGCGGGCAGCGCCCACTGCCACTGCCTGCGTTACCGCACGCGCTGATCCCTGCAACATAAAGTTGTCTACGCATTGCGGATGATCGTGTTCCAACGGGTCACTCTAACAGCGCCTGCTGCCACTGCATTCCTTCTCGCACGAGCGGATCCCTGCATGTAGCTGGTAGCCCTCTCCCACGATCGTCCTTTCGCAGTTCCAGCTGCTGCCTCTGCCTGCCTTCTCGCACGAGCTGCTCCCTGCATTGTGGTTGAGGGAACTTCCCCTGCTCGCCCTTCACGCACGAGCTGACCCCTGCGGTGCAGCCGGTACGACACTGCCACGAGGTGCCGCTGCGCAGTGCCAGCTTCTGCCCCTGCCTGTCTGCTCTTCCACACGCTGGTGCACGCACCACAGCGTCCTGCGGATGGGCGACGCGCGGCTGCACGCGCGCCCGCCACGGGTCTTGGGCCCCCGCCTTCCCCACGGCCGGAGACGCTGTGCTCCTCGGGCGCGGCGGCTGCCTTCAGCATGCTCGTCCTCCTGTTCCTGTTCCCTCCTCCTTCCTCCTGCTCCTCCCCTCTCCTCCTGCTCCTCCTCCTCCTCTCCTCCTCCTCCTCCTCCTCTCCTCCTCCTCCTCCTCCTCCTCTCCTCCTTCCCCCTCCTCCCTCCTCCTCCTCTTCCTCCTCCTCCTCCTCCTCCTCCTCCTCCTCCTCCCCCCTCCTCCTCCACCTCCTCCTCCTCCTCCTCCTCCCTCCTCCTCCTCCACCTCCTCCTCCTCCTCCCCCCCCCTCCCCCCCCGTCCCTCTCCCCCCTCCTCCTCCTCCTCCCCCCCCTGCGACTGCTGCGGGCCGGTCATGTGCTGGGATCCTGGTGACGCGCTGGCCGTCGAGAGGACCTCCTCACACGCCTCTCTGCAAGACAATGTTAGAGAGGCCTCGCCACGGAGCCCACACTGCTACCTGCGCTGCCTGCGGGGACGCCGTGCATGCTGCCGTGCCGCTGGCCGAAGATGATAACGCACGACCATGTGCTTTCCGGCTCCTCTGGGCAGGGCCGCTCCCAAGTTGGCCCAGGAAGCTCGCAAGCGGACGGAGGGGAGGGAGGTAGAGGCGGAATTGGCAGGATGACGGGGCGAAGGAGGAGAAGGAAAAAGAGGAGGAGGAGGAGGAGGAGGAGGAGGAGGAGGAGGAGGAGGAGGAGGAGGAGGAGGAGCAACAACAACAACATATGAATGAGAAGAGACGGGATAAGGAGGAGCAGGAGGATACCCAGGATGAGGCGGAGGAGGAATATGAGGGACGAGGGATCCCCTCCCCTCCGTAGCCCACTCGGCCCGAAGCCCCCCCCCACCCCCACCCCATGCGCTGTCCGGGATGGCCCCCTTCGCGGGGCCCGGCCAGCTCTGCCTCGCGGTGTTCCTCGCCGCCGTGGTCGTTGGGAGGGCGTCGCCCTGGACGGCCG